GCAAGGAAATAAATCGCCTAGGGAAATTGTTATTATATGCCGCTGGCACCCGCCGTCCTATCTTGCAATCTGCAAGAGGAGGATCGGTAGACGCCTTCCAGGATTGAAACATGCCATCTCAAAGTTGAAGCTCATGCCGACGCGTGGAGATCATTATACGTGCCTGTCAGATTCTCGATGTGAGGTTGGTTGGGACAGGTAGAACACTGGAACATACGGTCGACACACGCTGTTATGAACTCCGTCTAATAGCCACGGAAATGGGACTCTCTTCTCGCTCGACGCTTGCCTCATATTAGGGTCAATAAATCAGAGCATGGTCCTTTTTTCATGCAAAAATAACATGTTTACGGATGGAGGACATCGTTCGAATAGTCTGCTGATGTATATTGTCACGTGTAGGCTGATCATCTGCAGGTTACCGATCTAGAGAATGCTGTAGGATAACCTCAATCCTTCAGTACAATGTTCCTCTAGGTTCGATAAGGCTAATGCGCGAGCGAGTTCCTCCTCTTCCTTATCATCTTCAATATTCAATGATCGATGTAAAATGATCGTTCGCAGATGTCGGAAAGAGGGTCCTTTACACGTCCAACGCGACTTCACCATCTCTGCAAGAAGATTGGCATCAAACTGCATTTCGCCGCTGATATGCAGGGTATGCAGTCTCGGTAGGAGAACATTATCTGCGTCTGATATCACCAGAGGAGCGAGGATGCCGTTTGTTAAGGCCCTAGGACCCACGTCAAAAAGTTTTACTTCTTGGAGGGTAGATGAGGCGATGAGAAAGAGGGCAAGAAGGTCTTGTTCGGCTATATAACCGTGGGTGAAGTGAAATGTAGTCAAAGGTGACTGTGATCGGCGAATGGCTCGCCGAATAGCTGTAAAAGTATCCGGGTTATCGCGTATCGACCGTGGTACGCACCCATCATCCACACAACAGTGGACCGCAAGAGTAGACAAACGGGGTATGACGAGAGTATCAAGAAGCCGAGCGAGGACAGAATTGGGGTATCCCCACGAGCTCAATGTCAACGTTCGGAGCCTTTGACAAGATCGCAGAGCACCTCTGACTAACGAAGAGTAGCCCAAATCACAAAGTTCACATCGCAAATCGCATTCTTCCAGATTTTTAGCTTTTGAGAGCATGCCAAGGATGTGAGAGGTCGCGGGCCCGGGATTGCGACGTCGATGAAAAACGTGGTAAGTGGAGTAATGAGTGATCTGATGGTAAGGCAAGTCAAGGACAGGATCGACGCTCTTTATATCGACGATATCAAGGACAATTAAGAGTGGCGTATCTCGAAATAGTTTCATGCGAGGCAGCTTTTGGAATTCTTCACTATCCGTGGAAAGAAGAGCGAGATTTCTCAGGACCGGTAGGTAAAGTTGTAGAGTTGACACAAAAGTGAACATTGCAGGAGGTAGATAAAGATAGAGGGATTGTATTCGATCTTGCGTGGAGAACAGGAGTGTGGAAATCTGAGGCGGCAATGACTTGGAAGACGCCGACGTTTGGGGAGATCCCGCACAAATCAGGATTGATAATGGATAATGTCGCGTTCGTGTAATCTGGAGCGCTAATTGTCGAACGTAGCGAAAATCAGAGGATAAAAAGTTCTCGTCGCTGAGGAATATGTTGATGCTCGACCAAAGTTCTGGGAAGCCAAGGGCAGCGCGGCGCCACTTTTTGCATACGAGCTCGATTGACCACAACGCGCTCTCGGTAGGGTGGAAATCCCACCAGTATCTATCTCTCTGGGACTGTGTTCGCGGCATAGGGAAGATGGCCGTGCCGAGAAAGATCTTGAGTAGGATTTCTGGAGGTAGACGACGAACTGGGGAAAGAAGGCGCTTATATTCGGCTATGCGGGCTGACACCTCTCCACGCTGGCTGCCAAGGTCTTCCAACTCGGCATCAATCAAGGCAAGCTGAGTGGAAAGCACCTGCTGATGCTCCTTCAGGGCAGCTACACGATTATCGATTACAGCAACGCGCGCTTCGCCTACTGATATGCCATCCCGCAATTTACATTCTTCGGATGGAGAGGGAGGGTTATTGGAACCAAAAAGGCTGCCGTCGAATGTAGGATCGACATGAACTATTTCTTTATCGTAAGAATTTTCGGAAGGAATATAATGATTTGGACAATCACAGCCTGAGCAAAGTCGTGATCGGATATGAGAAAGCATCATCAGGGGTATAAATCTACAAAAAAGTTGGCTAAGTAACACTGCGACCGCCGTCAAACGGTACTCACTTGCAAGATAAAGCGATGAGGTGAAGAGCAAGTTTGGCTTTAAACTCCGCAACTGGCGTGGCCAGCTAGTGATAGGCGCCGACATCAGTGGGACCGACGAGAGAGGTTAAGGAGCCTTTCAAACTCCGCTTTCTCTCATGTACCGTGCCGCCCTCAGCCGTTTTCATTTTCATGGTATACGCTGACTTTCCACCACCTCTGCCGAAGAACACAGGGTTCTCCTTGACCGTGCCGCACAGATGGTTTATGTCTCCAAGGATATCGCGGCCGCCCTCGGTCGGCATGCTGATGTTCCAGAAGTGCTTCTGAAATCGAATGGCCGTGAAGGTTATATTGCTATCACGAAGGCAGGCGGTGACTCGGATGCCCTTGGTCGGGTAACGATAGGGAGCCTGAAGGTCAATACAGTACAAGGGGTTCTTCAAGGATTGAAGCAGGCGGATGAATGACTCGTGGCTCCCGAACGACTCATGTCATCTATCCGCCTCCTCACCCCAGCTTACGCGACAATTCTTAATACGCATCTCGTCTGTCAGTCCGTCATCGTCAAACCCAACGAGCTCAGGTCGGCTTTGGTTCGGCCCTTGCAGATAGCCCGCTACGGGCCATGTAGAAGCGAGAAATACTTGGCGGCCAGTCTGGCATATGGGACTGTGAAGAGTGCGTATCGTCCACTCCCTTGAGATGGTTCATGTGCTGATGATGGAGTAGACCACTCGTTCATGGATGAGAGCAAACGCACCGGATTCTTGCTAGGGCATATGTATTTGAGGGCGCAGGAACTTCCGGGTCTGGTTACGCAAGGACGTAACCAGGATTGTAGATTTCTTCGTTGGTGTGGCAGATGGAAGTGTTGATTTGGAAGAGCTGTGCAAGATGCTAGAACCACACATTCCATCTCGGAGTGACCTGGTCACGCCTGGAGTCTTTAATGTCCTGCCCAGATAACTGGGAATACACGCTTCGCCTTTCCGCTACGATACAATGAAAAGAAAGGCAATATCAAATAATCACCAGGCTCGCACTGCTTGCGTCCACGAATATTTTACTTGTTAGGACCAGGATCCATCTATGGGTGCGTTTTTTCCCAAGGTGACTCCCAATTCTGACTTGCAGGATGAAGGATCCTGAATTGTATCAAGCATCAAATTTTCGGTGTATTCATGTCTGATTTAGGATTTCGTGTCATCCTAGAATTCATCAATTTCGTTGGCACCGAATTTTGCCAAGTTTAGATACCAGCATTCTGTCTTCCGGCAGTACCCCAATAATAGTTATGAGCGCGACTCGAAGGCATGACCTGTCTGTTACGCCCGTGTGATACAAACAATCTGAACATCGATTGATCAGTCGTCCGGGATTTGCTGCGTTGAAGAATTTAGCAACATGAATGCCACTTGTAAAAAGATTAATATGTATTTGAGGCACCTTGCCAATTCACGAAATCAATTGAAACACGCCACTGCAATAGGGTGCTGGGAGAGTACCGGGCCATGGTGCAGGGCTATTATAACGGGTCAAAGAGACTCTAATAACCAAATAAAGTTACAGGACGAGAACTTACAAAACAAATAAGATATACTTGAGAAGCGAGCTTTATGATCACTCTATCATCTTATCGTCATCTTTCGGCACCTCAGGACGAACAGCGCCAACGGAATCATCCAACCCCTTTGCATCGTTTCTGAGCTCCTCCTCCTCAAGCGCGACGACATCCTGCAGCTCTTCTTCCTCGTCTTCATCCTGCTCTTCTTCATCAAGGATTTCCTCTTCCTCGATTATTTCTTCTTCCTCTTCTTCGGCCACCTCTGGGTCGACGTCCATAGCTATAGGACCCGTCGATATTGACTCGGAAGGGGGAAGTTCTGCCGGTGTGGACGCGAACGGCGTAGTTTCGGAAGGTGTAAGTCCTAAGGGCGTCGACGTGAACGGTGTAGTGGCTTTCTCCTTGCCTTTAATCTTGATAGTAGGCACAGCTGGTGCTGGAGCAGAGACGGACCCCATTGCTAGCTTGATGCCCGGCGTAGTACGGAGCACCGGAGTTGCAGAGGATGTAGCCCGTTTAGTCTTGTCGGTTTTGCTGAGTTCACGGTATACTAAAACCCCAGTATTAGTTAAAAAAGGGGCAAGGGAGATAGAAGACGACGGAAACGCACCTTGCAGCTCCTCCTGGAGGTTCTGCACCAAGTCGCCCAGCTCCATTACTTCGAGGGCACGGAGGACGTCCGTTGCGCTGATACTCTTGTGTTGTTTTGATAGAGCGACGTCATGAGCACTAGAGAGAATGAGATACGAGAAAACGCGTGAGAATCAGTGTACTTGCGTAGCAGCTACGAATGCGAGTCTCAGTCAGGACGCGTCGTTCTACCGTGTCAGGCTAACATACCAAGATAGTTGATGAATACCGTCGACCCTTTCACGAGCGATAGAATGGTTTCCTTCTGAAGCTTGGCATTTTCGGGAATCTGCCAGGGAAAAATTAAAGAAAGCAAGTGAAAGTGGGTGGCCAGAACTAACCGCCGACCGCGCAATCTTGGTTATCAGGCTCTTGGGGAGTTCAAAGTTCTCGATGCCGTCGGAAACAGCGTCCTGCTGGGCTTGAGCGGTGATCGAGCTCGTGTTTGTTTCTTTGCGTGGCATGATGAAGGATTGGGGGAAGAAAGTAAAAAGAGGGGAGGACGGTTCGCCAGCGAAGAGCCTATATTTGCTTAGATAGCCTTGCATATCGTAAGATGTTATGGCATTATAGCCAAGTGGTTACGGCGACAGATTCGAATACCGAAGGTTGTGTATCTGCAAGGGCGCAGGTTCAAATCCTGCTGATGTCGATGAAAGGTTATGGCTACATCATATTTTGCAGGACCCCTTCATCTTTTGTTTATATTTTCATTATTGGTTGCTCCATAGCCATTTGGCGAATGTCGGTTGCTCAATGCTGGGATAGAGACCACCACGACGTATTCAAGTTGTGGAAGCAGCAGTGGTTATTTCAATATCATTATATACTTCGTAAATACGATTTGAGTCGGTGTTCTGTAGATCATATTGTTGGGCCGTGTAACGTGTTGATAATTGGATCCCAGTTGAGATGTATCTTTCGTAACATGATACCTCCAAAGTTAGGGCTCAAAAAATATAATGTGCCTCGGCACATCGTTCTAAAATCTTGGAAAATTCATGTAGCATATAGGAAGCTTTTATGCCAGACAGAATTCTGACGAACGCCCAACGAGGGCGGAAAGATTTCATATCAGGATGTGATGTGCGGTTGATAAATAACTGTATGGCCCCCGGCTATTCAACCGACTTCCGGTCCGGCACGCATCACGACATTTTAAATATCAGACATGTTGCTTCTGAGCTATAAAGGTCGGCGCCGAAAAGTTTTCGTAGGCACGCATCATGGCCTTCTACACCTCACCCTTTTCTGATATTCCCATTGTTAACCACTCCCTGTTTACCCACCTTCTTCAGAAGAGCAGTAAGGAGAGTAAACTCGTCGGCGGCCATCCTGCTGATTCCTCTGTCTTCGTCGACTCTGCTACTGGTACTGTCTTGACTCGAGGGAAATTGCGCTCTCTGTGTCTTTCTCTTGGATACGGTCTCCGACACCATGGTGAGAAACGGGGGGATACGATCCTCGTGTTCTCGCCCAATGCGCTCGCTTATCCAGTCATCCTTCTCGGTGGTGCGTCCTTCGCGTAGATAACGCCATATAACTGAAGACTTGCAGCAATCGCTGCCGGGCTAAGATGCACGTTGGCCAATAATGCTTACACTAGCCACGAGCTTGCACATCAATACACGGACAGCCGGGCACGGCGGATATTTACGACCGAAGACAGTCTGCCTGTTGTGCGCGCGATGTTCGAGGAAGTTGGTGTGAAAGGTGATGAAGCAGACGCGAGGATTATTGTTCTTGGCAAGAGCCTCAAGTGGGCGGGTGGCCCTGATGCTCCACGCACGACACCTCTGCTGCACATGGAAGATTTGCTCGCATTCGGCTCGTTGGAAGAAGAGGAGAAATTTGATGGGGAACGCGCGCATGAGACTGCCCTGTTGTGTTATAGTTCAGTAAGCAAGCGCCTACTTTCCGTTACGGCATTCAGGTTAATCTTAATATGGCACAGGGAACAACCGGTAAACCGAAGGTGCGCCTTGTCCCTTGATTGCATCTCTCATCACAATACTAAAGATCTCCTAGGGCGTCGAGGTAAGTCCAGACCTTTTCATATCTCTATGGCGTAGCTATCTCCAAGTTCTCTCTCCGTACCTCGTATCGGTCTTTCCAAAGACCCGATGATTAGCAAGTATTTCGTGGACTAACTCCATTCTCAGACTACGCACCAAAATCTCACATCGGAGATTGACATGCTCGCCGCGGTATGGACTCATGGTACTGGAAACAAACATCTCGGTTTCCTACCCATGTACCACATCTATGGTGCCGTCATCATCCTTTTCCTTACCCAAAAGCTTGGGCATACGAGTTACATCCAACAACGTTTTGACCCGCTGCGATTTTGCGAGGACATTCAAAAATACAAGATTCAAATTGTTATGCTTGTTCCACCCATAGCGGTATTCCTCTCTCGGCACCCATGTAATTCCGCCCCATTCCTCAAAAAATTGCATTCTCACTCTTGTATACAGTGGTGGAGAAATTCGACCTTTCGTCGTTGAAGTTGTTGACGTCTGGAGCAGCTCCATTAGGCCCTGAATTGACGAATCAGGTGGGTGTCGAACCAGATCCATGCTTGTTTTCTTGACTGAACGCATACACGTGCAGGTCACAGCTCGACTGCCATTGCTCAACGTAAATGCGGCGGTCATTCAAGGTTTCGGCATGACTGAACTTTCACCCGTAACACACCTGCTACCCGTGGCTGACGCAGCACGAAAGGCAGGGAGCATAGGCTTGCTCCTGCCTAATCTGCAGTCCAGAATTGTTGACGAAGACGGTCATGATGCTCAGACGGGAGAGATGTGGATTAAAGGGCCTGTCGTGATGAAGGGGTATATCAACAATCCGACCGCAACCGTGAACACCATCACGAAGGACGGGTGGTTGAAGACGGGTGATATCGCTGTCAGGGATGAAGAGGGGTATTTCTTCATCGTGGATAGGGTAAAGGAGTTAATTAAGTACAAGGTAAGGTCTGGTTGCATTAAAAAGCATCGGACTGAATTCTACGATACACCCAGGGATTTCAAGGCAAGTTTTCCATGGAACTATATTTTCATCGCCTTAATTTACCGCACTTCTGTCAGTTCCTCCGGCAGAGCTAGAAAGTATACTTCTTAGTCATCCCGGAGTGGCTGATGTGGCTGTGATTGGTATTGAAGACGCTGCAGAAGCTACGGAGTTACCTAGGTAACTCCTTCACACTTTTTCCCAGCGTATTTTGCTGAATAACCGCACTAGGGCCTATGTGGTACCTACGCATCCCGGAAAAGTGAAGACTGATGCGCAAAAGACTGAGTTTGGCACGCAGATATCCGAATGGATGAAGTCCAGAGTCGCTAAACATAAGTATTTGCGCGGAGGTACGCTTCCAAAGTCCTTAGGCATATCTATCGTGGTAACATTCACCACAGGCGTCGTGACAATTGATGTTATACCCAAGAGGTGAGTGCGTAATGGTTTTCTGATGTTCCCGCTGACATGAATACTTCTTAGTGCTGCGGGGAAGATCCTTCGACGGCAGCTGCGTGATCTGGCGAAGAAGGAGGTACGGAGTCGACTGTAATATCTGCATTCTTAGATTGCATTTCGCATCACTGTGTAATCTAGTTTTGCACTAATAGCTTTGAGTACTACGAGCGGGCGAAGTATCAGTCAATAGAGCAGTGGCTTCTTTACGACAACGGCGGGAGCAGAGAGGCTAGAGCCCTGTCGCTTTATATTCCAGCCCATCGTTGGCTCTTGCTCCATATATGGGAATGCTTCAGTGGCTGTGCTCCAGTCAGTCAACAAGAATACAAAACTGTTAGGATGACCTTGCATCAATCGTGTTGACTATTGTCCCCTTCGGGGTGACATACGAAAAAATTGGAACGATACAGAGAAGATTAGCATGGCCCCTGCACAAGGATGACACGCTTTCCCGGAGTGGTAGATCTACGGATCTCAATATTTATTTTATTTTTATCACCTGTATCAATTTTTCGTATTTACACTTGGAATCTGGATTCTGTACTATGTACAATCAATGGCTCTTTTACACATTTTTACAACCATCATGAACGGCGTCATCACCTGCAACTGGCGAGAGTAGAGACTTCTTACAGCATAAAATAGTACTGTCGAGCATGAATCTCTCAAAACTCAGATTTTATAAATCTCAGCAAGATCTCATTACTACGCCCCTCGTTTTATGATGCCGGCAGCCTGGAAGGCATCAGTGAGGACCTCGAGTATAGCGTGTTACATACCATCTCTCCCACAGCATATGCGCTAGACTGTGTATGGCTTGCTAATTCCTATCAAGGCACTTAGCCAAATCCATCAACCACCGAATCTCCTTACCATCGGAAAAACAGACATGTCAACCTGAAGCATTATTAGACTCGATGACTGATGAAGAGTCGACGACATACCACACGCAGGTTGTCCGTTCCATAAACTCTTAGCGCACTATCAACTACACCCCCCAAGTCCTGGGGCATCATTGCTGCAGTGCCGAGTGGGTGGTAGACCGTGGAGCATGTGTCCTTGACAAACTCCCTTAGTCCATCACCTTCCAAGTCGACCTTGGTCGGAAACACCAACCCATCTGGCACCATAAGCTCAGCCAGTGGTTCTGTCTCGTAAAGCTTCAACGCCAGTTTGACAGTATGTATAAGAACCTCAAGATCAACAGAGTTGGAGAAGTATTGTGGATCGATAGCCGGCGGCTCTGACGGGTCACTCGACTGGATGTGCACGCTCCCCCGAGAGAATGGATGCAGAATACTAGCGTTAAGTGTCATGTATCTCTTCCCGGGTTTCGGCTCGAACATGGGCACGGGGAAGTGGCCGTTGTAAAAGGATACTCTACAGGATGAGTGACGGGATGATTTACGTTAGGCAGAAATCGTGAACTCACTCTCCCTGTGGGTGTCTCTCGTCACAGAACCACCGTTTCTGGATAGCATACTGCTTTGCAAGACCGGCGCGAAGTTGAGGATTGTTGATACTGGCGAGGTAGGTAGCACACTGGACGTCGGCTGCATCCCGCCATGCTTGGGCGTCGCCGAGCTTTAATGCGGGAATAAATATATATGCAGGAGCTTGGAGTGTCGACAAAAGACCCTTCTGCTCTTTACTGCATATGCACGGAATAAAACACCGGACGAACTGTCAGGTCGATGCACCTACTACAGCTCAGCGTGTCTCTGCGCTTCCGCAGCATCGTGTAGCACATCTACAGTTTCCAAAGATGCGTCGATCTCGGCGACCGTGAAAGCCATGACATGATCCTCTGTTTTAATCAGGATATTTTTCGCGACAAATGAAACTTGGGCACTTGCGCAAATTCTCGCCCACTCCAGGAAGTTCCACCAGAGTCTCGATACCATGTTTCTCAAGAATTGTCGGATTCCCGATTCCAGAAAGCTACCAGAATATTTCAGGCTGAGAATATGATAATGAAATTTTCAATACGAACCTCTAGAAGCTTAGGAGATTGGAGGGACCCTGCAGAATCCTTAAGAAGACTGTATAAATTTCACATAAATTTGGAGATGTACCGGCTGAGAGTATGACATCCTTCTTTACAACTGCCAAGTGCGACCCATCCTTTATAAATTCGACGCCGATAGCTCTTCTCTTGCCTTCCCCGAGATA